CTACTACTACATCTAAACTTTTATAATATAAAAATTATCTTGAAACGTGATGTAACAATTTTTTGATGGTGCCTCAGCATCACCACTCGAGTGCAAAGGGTTAATTATGTTCGATATCAACCCTTCGCACTCGAGTGGTGACTCCGAGGCACCGTTAAAATTGTTGTATCACGTTGCAAGATAATTTTTACATTACAAAAGTCTAGACGTAAGAAAATTGGTAAAAGTCTAACTGTTGTACGAGTCGCGAGACTATAAATTTCGTACGCATAAAATGCACTTTGTCGTGTAAAATGGAAATACCACGAGTCGGAAAAATTAATGTAAACTTACAGTTGAAATGGCTTCCAGTGCAAAGGGTTAATCGTTGTAAATGTTCGTAAATATTCGTCAAACTATTTATCGTTTGTATTCTCTGCCAAAAAGATCGCGACTTTGCTGCAGAAAGTCGAGCCGAGATCAAAATCGCTACGTTGCTGTGACATTTTATGGGAATTACTAAACGAAAGAGCTTGCATTTGTAGAGTTTTATTTCACGGTGCGAGCAAAAGAACACTAATTAAATTAATTATTAGTAATTTAAAAAGATACGCCACTTTGACACGAAACTATACGTATGTACAGTGATTTTTCATATTTCTATTTTTTTAGTAATCCTATAACTAAAGCTTGTAAACTTATCGTATACATTCAATAAATAAATAAATAAATAAATGAATGAATAAATAGTTTCGTCAGCGCAATTTCAGTATAGCCATTCGTGTACCGTAATGGCGACAGGAAAGAGCACCCATTGTAGTCGACGGGTCGGCGGGGATAGTTAGCCGAAGGATCGATCCATCGATTAAGCGATTAAATTCGTATCTTCAATCTCGGTTTATTACCGATGCCGTGACGCGACAGAGTCGATAAAAGGGACACCATGGGACACCCCGATCGTGCGCCGTCCATTCACGCGAGCGCAATTAACATTGTCGGCTTCTCTGAACTTGACGGTTTTTGATCGGCCGATAAGAAATTCAGGGCTGTCAATGCCGCGGCCGTTTTCTCAGCCGGTCTTTATGGCTCATCGACGAGCGACTCTCGGAGAACGAGAACTCGTCTTTTCCGCTGCATTTTCACGGCCGGATGTTTCCTTTGATCGGAGCGCTTTGACGGAAAATTAGCCGATCGATGATCATCGCTAATTTTATTGCTATTATTACTGTCGCTATTATTATTGTTATTATTATTACTATTATTATTACTTTATTGTTATTACTATTAATACTGTTATTATTATTACTATTATTATTACTATTATTGTTATTACTATTAATACTGTTATTATTATTACTATTATTGTTATTACTATTAATAATGTTATTATTATTACTATTATTGTTATTACTATTAATACTGTTATTATTATTACTATCATTATTACTATTATTGTTATTACTATTAATATTATTATTATTATTGCTATTAATACTGTTATTATTATTACTATTATTATTATTACTACTACTACTACTACTGTTTATTATGATTATTATTATTATTACTATTATTATTACTACTACTATTATTTATTATCATGCAGAATCCGCGTAAAAAAATGAAAAGAGCCCATCCATGAAAAATAAATGAAATTCAATTAAAGTCGCATCAGCGTTGGCGCAACACACACGACCTTTCCATATTTCTCGAGGCGAGCAAATCGAAAGGAAAATTGGCTTCGATTCGCGCAACAGCAAAAGCAGAATCGAGCGGAGTACATAGATATTAGCGGGCTGATCGATCGACCGAATCCGCGGCATCTAACTAGCGATCGTAATCGCCGATAAAAGCGATTGAGCAAGAACATTTGAAAATGAGGGGCAGGGCGGGGGAGATGAGGCCAATCGGGTGTTTAGCATTTATTCTTAGCGCGGACGAATGCGAGCGGGCAAACCGGCTCCCGCGCAGCAGCCGTTGCTTGCCTCATTCGAGCAAAAATTACGGTACGACGGGAAGAACGACGACGAAGACGACGACGACGACGCGCGTCACAGCCGATAGATACACGCCGGAGTAAGGCGACGCCGATATAATTAGTATGAACGTCACTTTCATTCTCCTCGTCGGACCCCCCGTCGCGTCGACACGCGTACGCAGTCGTTCCCCCCTTTCGTTAAGCGTCCTCCGACGTTGCTGTGTGACCAGAATATATATGTATACGTTCTCTTCAGGCATCCAACGAATCGCCAGATTTTCGTCTCGGGTCGCACGATCGTACCGACAAATTTCCGTGTACAGTAATGTCTCCCTTACTGACGCTCAGATTGTCTCCACTAAAATGGATAATTTGGGAAGAGGAGATACGATTATTCGAGCCTCGCAGCTCTCGTTTTTATAGCTGTTGACAATCGATGATCATAAAAGACGAGCCACGAGGCTCGAACAATCGTATCTCCTCTTCCAAAATTGTCTACTTTTGTGCACGATCCGAGCGTCAATTAGGGAGGCATTACTGTACTCGGAAGCGAGATATCGAGTTCTAACAGAGGACAACTTCGAGCGACGATAACTCCGCGAAAAATCACCTCGGGACGATGACTCTTTCTTTAAATTAAAGCTCGAAACCTCTACTTTCGGACAGTGTATCTGGATTTTAAGTTGCACGCAACCTCGCCACTGTAACCCTTTAAATGCGAGGCCATGTTCGTCGTACGTCATACGTCGTATCGTCGAGTTCGACGAATTGCACGGACTTCGGACAATTTTTCTCCGAGATGCCGTTTACGGCAGAATGAAGTTCGATCTTTCCCCTTTAATTTAAAAAAAGAGAAACTCGGCTGCGATTTTTTCTCGCAAAGTTGCAGCAGTTTATAGTAACCCTTGCATGTTCTCCAATCTATGGCACGAATTATCAACAACCATAAGAACGAGCTGCAAGGCTCGAATAATCGTATATCTCCTTTTCCCAAATTGTCCATTTTTCTGCACAGTCTGAGCGTCAGTTAGGGAGACATTACGTACATATTGCAGCTCGCAGTATTTATGCTTCGACATTCTGATTTCACGGTGCCGCGCAGTGTCTCGCCTTTCGTCGG